GTCCTTTATGGACATATGAAACAGAACATTCCCCCAACTCTCGGGAAAGGAAATGGGAAAGAACCGCTGAGGGGTGGCAGCTTCCCCCTTTATCTTGCTGCATATCCACTGGCACTGCATAAGCATACTATTCAATGCCTGGCAGTACCTAGCAGGAGCACTGAGGTGCAACGTGTACAAACTGCACATTTGTGAATAATGTACACTCATACACGCTGATGGAAAACTCACAAGAGAGAGCATGCAGCCCAGGTGATTTCTGCTCCCCCTCCCCGAAGATTACAAGGGCCAACTTAGAAAAATTTGGCAGCCTTCGCCTCCCCTTCTCCTGTCCCCTCCCCCTGTCCTCCCGCTCAAGTTCTCCACTGAAACCCTAAGGCTTTTGAGACTTTGCCCTTGTTAATCAGTAGGTCCTAAAAAAATAAAAATAAAAATAAAAAAAAAAAAAACAGGAGGGAGGTTTAGCTTTAAAGTGCTCCTGAGTTTTCTTAATGGCTCTGGAAGCATGTGAGGAATTCTCTGCGGGGGAGCCCAATTGCACACTGCCCTCATTAATTTCACCTAAATCAGGGAGAGAGGGAGGGGGGGAATTCCAAGCATAGGTTGTGTTCATTTCCCTCTTCCTTCAGGAGCTAGCGGTGGGGTAAGGGGATGAGACCTGTAAGGGTGGTGAGTATATTTTATTAACCCAAGTGGAAATGGGAGAAAAATGTTACACTGTTTTATAGGCTAATAAAACACGCTTGGGTACAATTACAGGCACTGCTGCATAAAGGAGCAGGGCAACAGGACAGGAGGGAGAAATTGTACATTTCTTCACAGCTTGTAAACAGGCTTGCCTTGACTTTTACGGGGGAAATTTTTGAGGAGGCTGTCCCTCCTCTCCATCTCACTTTTGAAAAGAAATTCTTCCCTAATATAAATCACAGGCATCCCCTGATCAACCGGCAGCATTCACAGACTGCTTAAAAGTCAGCTCTGTCTTCAGCAGTTACCCAATGGAGGATTCAGCCATCAGATTTAAGGGGTTGATGTTGAGGACGTCAACAACTAAGTTACAATCTAAAGGTGGAAGATCTACTGAACGCCAAAGGCCAGTTTGTAGAGTTCAAATGGGTTGCAGTATTGATCATTCTTTGGCATTCCAATACACGTTTTTATTTTAGTACACAGTGGAACAAGTGCCTTTCTCCCTTTATGGTCAGTTTTGCAGGGCTATCCAGAGGGTTTGTGCAACCTCACACAAGTGTGATGTTGAGGGTCCCCGTGCTGCCTCCTACAAGGACCTACCATGTGTGTACAAAGCACGAGAGTACATGCAATAATTTGTGCACACAGATTACAACTGGGATGTTGTAATGCTTCTTGGCCTGGGATGAAAGTGAATTATATATGTGTTTCATTTACTTTCTTGCATGGGTTTAGGTTTCAATCTCTCCTCCAATTTCACATTCCTTTCAGACGGAGCTTCTTTCTACTTCCTGGGGCTCAAGCTCACAATCTCCTGCTTTAGAAGAGGTAGCCATGTTAGTCTGTGCTAGGATGTCAAGCAAAAATAACATTAAAAAAATAAAGAAGACAAAAATGTTGTGGCACTTTAAAAACTAACTGCTATATTTTAATGTGAGCTTTCGTGAACAATTCCACTTCTTCAGACATGAGAGTGGGAATCTTTTGCTTGTCACCTATCATGGGCCTTCTCCCCAATTTATTCAGGACAGCTTTCTCCCTTAAAACCTGGCCTCATACTTCTTCTATGCCATTCTTTGTGATAAAATACCACAGAATATTACATTCTGTGACACTTTCTGTGGAAATATTAGGTGTTATTAACTTAGTCCTCTCCCTGGCATGCCTGGAGTGCATTCTGCAATGATAGCACCTCAGCTCTCTGCCAGAGAATCCTTCTTTAAAGCCTTCCTTGTTCCTTATCTTCCTACAACAGAATATCAAGGCTACATGGCTTAAGGGAAACCTAAACCTGCCTAGCCAATCTTCTTTCTATTGTTGTCCAGACGTAATTATTTTACATGATACTGATGATGTTAGACTCTCTTACATTTGGACTGCAACTTGCCTAGTAATCCTCCCAAGAATACATTTTATATCCAAAACAAGTGTGACCAATGGAGCAAAAACAATTCCTTTAACCCATGAGTTACCTTTCAATCAAGTACACCCTTTTCTCTTTTTATGGACACTTTAAACAAGCAAACAAAAAAGCATGAATTGGATTTTGCACACAATGTGGCTGTGTCAGAGCAGGATCCAATGGGTGTGCGGAGAAACTGAGGTGGAGCCTCCTCAGGGAAGCCCTGAAGCTTTGCAATGTCATCATTTTGCATGGCTTGTACAGGATTACCAAGCATAACAGGTAATGAGCGTAACAGGTCCTGCTACTACTCCCAGTTCCCCGTGAAACATGCGAAACATAAATTTATCATTAGGCTAGAAAAACATCAAACAAAGGAAGTGTGGTGTTTTTTTTAGAAAGCAAATGTAATTTATATTCTGAAAACACTTTATGCTGGCTTATATTTGATATCCAACCCAGCACAATTAGTGGTAAATACAGCAGTTGTCATTTGTATTTCTTCTTTCCTATTTCCTTTTTTTAAAAATCAAAAAGCATTGCTTATGTCAGTTTCCATAAAATTTGCTTGCAATAATTTATATGTATAGATGCAAATTGAGAAATAATTTCAAAGAAATGCGATTCATCCCTTCATGGCAAGGAACACTGTGACCTGGTAGCCTATATGTTCGCTCAGTTTATTGTCCAGGTGCTGTACTGGTCTATGATTGTACTAAATTGTTGCTTACTTAATATCATTCCATGTACAATTTTATTCCTTGCTCTACTTCTTACATCTCTGTCTTTACACTGGACTTGTCAAACTGATAATCCTTTCAAAGAACTTCCCTTTGAGCAGCTGGCTTCTCTCTCTCTCTCATGCCAAATGGTATAACCAGTGAACCACACGGAGGGCCTCCACATGTTATGACTTATGTAAATGTCAATAGCAAGGTGGCCAGATAAAAGGCATACATCTGGAAACCATGTGTCAAAAAAATGCATAGACTTCAAAAAGGCACACATGCTTGTTAAGTGGGTGACTAAATAAATAAATTCAAACATTTCAGAAATACAACAAAATGTGCCATTTCTTCCCCTGTAGAAGATATCTTGCGTGGCATCATCAACTGATGAAGAGGGAAAAGGAAGGGGTCTACAGAAATGGACTTGACAAATTTGCCTGTCTCTACCCAGGGCTGTGAAGCTGAACTTGGCAGCAGGGTTACCTCTAAGAACAAAACTTGGGGAATAGCTAAGGATGGCATAGAGCAGCAAATGAGCTGTTTATCTGATTCCATGTGCTTTGTCCCCCCCCCAAAAAAAACTTGCTTGCTTGAGGGATAGCTGTGCTGGTAGGACTAATTTCTCCTGTTCCACCTTGTTTAGACATTCACTTCTTTCCCCTAGAAGATCCACACCTCTCTTCAATTAGTCTCCCTCCAGGCTATGACCCGGGCACAGTTTTGTGAGCTTCCTGTATCGTGAGCTGCTCAATAGGTCATGCCAAAACTAACACCTATAATTTTCTTATTAACCTTTTGAGTCCCTTGCTGCCTACAAAATACTGGATGGGTAGATGGTTGTCTGATGGTCAGCTTTCACCTTGGCCAATCATCACTCATTTCCACATTTGGTTTCTCAGGTGTTCGAAGTGATCTACCTCAGTTACACCCACTGTTATCACAGTCTTCCAGAACCAAACTCTCTTGGCAGCCTCAAGCAAATCATTTTGAGAGGTCGAGATCAAATGCTGAAAGTACCCTAGGTCCTGCAGGCTTATCTGTTTTATTCCACTTCTCCACTCTGGGGGGATCATCCCCCAATGCCATAGCAAGAAGGAAACACTGGAATGTCCAGTATGAGGGGGAAAATATTGGGAAGGACCTTTGATTTGAGACCATGGAGAACTACTACCAGAGGGGATAGTCTGATCTAGTATACAAGGGAAGCTTTTGATGGCATATAAACCACATGCTGTGGGGTGGGAAAAATGGAGTCCCCTGGACATTGGATTTATACTCTGTGATGATGGGTGACAAGTGGGGCAGAAGGCACAGCCTTCACTAGTGGGTGGATCCAGGGGTGATAGGCAGGCCCAGGGGGAAAAGTAAGTATTCACCGACCCAGACAGCCATTGTCTCAGCCATTGTCTCCAATTTCATGAATTCAATCTACAAATCTGGGGAGGAGCAGAAAAACACATTCTGCAACTATTTCTCTCCACGCCGTTTCAAAGCTAGGCAGATACTGGGACAAGTCACTTACGTTCATTGTCCCATTTTCCTTTTCCCTTCATTCATAAATGGTAGGGAGCCATTTGCAACCATCTACATTTCTCCTGTCAACAATGTTGGGGTTACGGGTGCTGGACCCCTACGTAGTTCAAAATTCCTGTATCAAGTCTTATGCCCCCATGAACTTTACAAAGCTTAAAAAGGTGATTCATGTGTGTGCACACAAACAGCTCTCTATTGGGGTTCTCTTCCATAACACTGACAATCCTTTCCACACAGAACTGTATGAAATGAGCCTTAAAAGTCCTTATAACCTCCTGATTTAGAGGCTGAACTAGACCACTTGGATGCATTTGGCCTTGAACTCATGGGGGTTCTGGGTGGCCATGGGCACAGTACTAGACATGTTGTGTTCGTGGGCAAGTAGACCACTTGGATGCATTTGGCCTTGGGGGTTCTGGGTGGCCATGGGCACAGTATTAAATATTTATTTATTGAAATATGTATTTATTCATTTTTTTAAAATCCATGTATATCCAAAACCATGCTGCTCAGACCTGTACAATTCAAGGGAGATGTGTAGTAGTAGTTCTAGTTGAAGGAACAGTAACAGACAAATTCAGCAAAAATTAGGAAAAGGCCATGTGATTCTTAAGAAAAATGCAAGAACAGACAATACCTTTATCAGATCACTTAAAGACTGCCCAACCAGCAATTGGTCAGGAGACAAATTCAGTGTTTAATTCCTTTTTATTTTATTCTTTCTTACATAACCATTGCATCAGTTTACAAAAAGAAGAGCTGCACAGACAGGAATGTTCAGGACTCATCTTTCCTTAAATTTGAATTAACTTTCCCAGGGTTGGTAAAATAAAATAAACAGATTGAAAGGCCAACCAGAGAAAACATGGCAAGATAGTGCAACAGGTATTTAATGTCTAAAATGCTACACAAGATGGAAATGTTTCGCAGATGACCTTGTTTCTGATTATAAGGCTACCATTTTTTTAAATAACAAAATTCTTTCTTGAAACCAGTTTTTCAAACATTTTGCCAAATACCCCATACTGTTCAGAAAGGCAATGTTTTAAAATACTCAAAACAAAAGAAAGCTGAACAAGGTAATAGACATCAAGGCAACATACACAGGCTTAGATATTAAGGTAAGTTTACAGAGGGAGAGCTACCTGCACCCTCCCCTCCCCACATTGTTCAGGAGCTGCCACCCACTTCTGTACCTGTGAAAAAGTTTGGTGAAGAGATGTGGGGGGGAGGGCTGCTGGAAGTGGGGAGAGACAACTAGAGGAAGCATCCTTAAGGTGCCTTAGCATCTAGATCATAGTCCAGAGCTTCTTTTCAAAGGCTCATCCATCTTAATTCAGAAGGAACTGTAGGCACATATCTCTTTACAGCCTGCTTTACCTGTAATGTTAATCTCTCCTCAATCTCCCATCCCAATAAAGGGCTTCTTGCATTCTGAGGTACTGCTCCCCCTTACCCCGGCCAGCCCCTCTAATATAAGAGTGTTGGCCAAAACTCCTTCCAGAACTAAAGATACACAACTTAGGTGACATTACAACTATTGTGCCTCTTGTTCTTGAACCTTCTTGAGTGAATTTTAAGTAACACCAGTCTGTATCTGACGTCTACCACTAGCTTGTCCAAGTTAACTGCCATCACTCATCTAAATGAAAAGTTGTACCTTGATTTCATGGGGACACTGAGAATTTTGTTATTAAAGCTCCCACCCCACCCCACCCATCCCTTATCAGGCTGGCATCTCAGAGTACTTGCATCTTCTTTCTAAACATGTAGTGCAGTTCTTCTCCAACAGTAAAAAAACAAAACAAACAAAACAAACAAAACCACCTAGTTTTTCAGTCACAAGCTGTTCCTTTCCCATTACCTTGCCACATCATCGCTCCATTTCAGTGGCATTCCTACCTCTCTTATCATCTTTGTGCAATTAAAGACGCACAGTGCAAACAAAATAACCACCCTAGTCCCTAGGATTAGAGATGATCATCAACATGGTCTGTTTGGAGAGATGAAAGTCTTCTGTATTGTACTATAGTACTAGCCAAGTCTTTAGCTCACTGTTTGCTGGTGATACCAAGAGGTGTTTTTTTTTTCCTGGTATCAATCTTAAACTTAAAGCCCTGCAGGTTAACGAGATGCCTCGCCATTTCTCCAGCCCCATTTCACAACCATTAACTTGTTTCTAACATCCACTAACTTTCTTCTATAAGCATACCTTTTTCCTCCCTCCAAACATACACCAGTACCCTGTTGTACCAACTGCCAAACCATTATTTCACCATGAGCATTTGTCTCTTTACATTCCACAAATAAAACAACAAAAGAGTATGTGACAAATAAATAAGCTCTTGCCAGTTGTACTTCCTGCCCTGTTGAGAAGACACTGACTGCTGAGAGTTCACTTGTCCACCTTTAAGGGAAGTGCAAACAGTTTGGACTACGCCATTCCTTCTAAGAACAGAGCAGAGTAGCAAGGCATCTCTGCAGATGTTGGTGCCCAGATGAGACCTCTTCTGGAGGCCTTGTTGGCAACAACCCCCTTCAGCTCAGTTTCGTGCTCATAGCTACAGCCCGCCTGTAGACTTCAGTGACATTGTCACAGTCCGCCAGAGAGAAGCAGCTATCTACAAGGGGGGTTTGACATTGAGTGACTGTCCAGCGCCGGAGTCGATAAGCCCCCCTTTCCTCCTCTGCTTCCTCCAGCTGCAGCAGGTCATCCGCAGAGATGGATCCACGCATGGGTGCTCCTCTGCTCCCTGGCATTCGGTCTGGCAAATCAAGCTGGTCAAAGGACTCTGAGGAAAGGATGCTATCCTCACTCACAGCGCTGGATGGGCGAATACGGGAGGCCATGGATACTTTGGGCAGGGTGATCTCAGCAAAAGTGGAAAAGACTTTGGCGGGCACACCTTCAGACTCTGTGCTGCTGGAGGAGAACTTGCCGTTGTGCTTCAAGATGCCTTTCCGTCTGGCATGAGGCTCACTGGATGCCTGAGTGGAAGAAGGACGACCAGCAAAGACACTGGCATCAAGATCCAAGTTTTTAGAGTCTAAGACCTCTGCAGATTCACTACGTTCTGGGGAAGAGTAATAGCCAGACTCCCTCTTTTGGGTCTTCTTCAAGATTCCTTTCTTGGGCATGGAATGTGAGGCCACAGCTTCCATCTTGCAAGCTAAAGCCCTGGATGACAAGACACAAGACAGATCAACCGTAGGCCCAGCATTGTCCTCTTTCTGCTCATCAGGAGGAGCTGCTGTCATGGAAGCAGGAGAAACCTGGGCCTTCTCGCAGGAATTTCTCTTCTTTAGGATGCCTTTGGGTCTCTTCAGAATCGATTTGGAGGGGTTCTCTGGAACGGGGCCAGTCTCTTGCATGGCATGAGATACATTGTTCTCCTTCTTTGACTTCCTGAGCGAGCGCTGCCTCTCCACTGTGACACCAGGGATGTGCTGCTTGAAAAAACAGCGCACCTTGGAGCCATTTTCAAAGAGGGGCCTGGAGGAGCGGCGCAGCCACTCCGCCACCGTGGACAGGGAGGACTCGTGATCATGTGAGGACTCCTGTTCCCCAATTGGTACCTTGTAGCCCCAGTTCACCCACCAGTGGCTGGCAATGTCTTCAATGGTGGCTCGCCGCTCTGGGTTCACCATGAGCATCCACCGGATCAGGCCACAGGCATCTGGAGGACAAATAAACCATTTCAAAACACAGATGAGGACTATGTTCTGATTAGTTCTCTTTTCAGCAACTCTTCAGCCCCATGTCAATTGATGGCATGGTCTGTTCAATGCAGGGATGAGCAATGTACACCCTTCTAGATACTGGATTGCTGCTCCCATTACACCTCACCATTTGCTATGCTCGCTTGGCCTGACAAGGTTACAATATGACAACATCTGGAGGGTTCCCTTTTGCCCACCCCTGGTTCAATGGATATTCAAAAACTACTAATTACATAGAAAACAGGAGAATGTGGAGCCCTTCAAAATGTCGATGGACTGCAACCAACTCATGGGAACTGGAATTCAACACTGGTAGTCAATAAATCCCTTCCCCGCCTTACGTCTGCCATGTGCTTCATACTGCCTCTGTAACAAGAGACATTGGCACAGAGGAAGGTGCTGCACTTCCATTTCCACTTACCTGACAATTTGGTGGGCTCTCTGTAATCTCCACTTGTGATTTGTTTGACCAGAGTTTTGTAATCGTGACTATCAAAAGGCATAGCACCATGAATCAATATGTACAGAAGAACACCAAGGGACCAGCTGTCAACCTAGAGGGGCAGAAGAGGTCTATTAGGAGATGCACCGATCACCTGACTAGAGAGACATTCTCTGTTTCTAGAGCTTTATGCTGGCATTAGCCATGAGAATCAGGAGGAGAAGATAAGAACTGTTCAGCCTTTTTCATTCCAATTACATTAAAGACATGTCTGAGGTCCGTACAAGCAGCCCATTTTTCCTTGTCACCAAGAATATTTACCAACAGACATCCAGCAATTGCATGAGATGTGATAGAGATGATCAACCAACCATCTGAGGGTGGTTAAGCATTCAGTGCTAAAGGCTAGAGGTCTCAGCCATGGTGTCTTGCAGCTTATAGAGCTTTGTTGCTATCTACCTATGCATAAACATGATTCCTACGGATCTATGTATGCATTTGGCTATGTTAATTTATCTTTATGGAAGGTTACACCTCCCTCCCAACTTTAAAGTGCTTCTACAGAGCTCAGAAAAGTCACACCTTTGGACCTCAGCCCCAAGAATCCCCTTAGAGATGGAAATGCTGCTTCCTTGGACCAAGAATCCCACAGCCAGCACAGCTGTGGGATTCTGAGAGCCACAGTTCAAAGAAAGCTATGTCCTCCATCTCTGCAGATTCTAGGAATGCTGGCAGCAAATAGAAATCAGTTATAACATCTACTGTGAAAAATTGGAGGTGGGCAAAAAGTAGAATGGATGATCTCAGATCTGCAAAAGCTTCTGACTTTCTCGAAACAGAAAATCTTTGAGTTTCAAATGCAGGTGGAAAGGGGGAGAGGAAGGGGGGAAATCAGATTACTGGCCCCCTTTTGTGTAGAGATGGGTCATATATTCCAAACCACTGGCTCTTGCAGACTGCAAACTCTCCATCTAAGAAGCCGTGCCTGGCTCCCAACAGCTGCCATGAGATTTTTGGGACTTTTAATATATTTTAGAGTTACCCATGAGGACGTGGTGCAGAGCCTGAGGAAGGTGAATTATCATCGAAAGCTGTTGCTGTTTTTTGTTTTAGATTCTCAATGGTCCAATAGAGGTATCACCTATCCCTGGATGCCTTCTGCCACAACCTCATGCAGTTCTTCTAGCTAGTCCCACAGTTTGGTGTCAGAACACTGGATGGGTCCATAGTGATCAAGTATAGATTTGTCTCTGTGTCGGAAAACCATTCCACCATTTGCTCATGGGGTGCAAAAATACTTCTGTGTCTTACTATTATTGACCTACGCATGCACCTCATCCAATGTTTAATATGTTCCCACATAAACTGCCCTGTCAAATATTGAGGACATTCCTATTTGACAAAGCAGGACTCTTACCTCGGGACCTTTGTAAGGCCTCCCATTGACTATCTCTGGAGATGCATAGAGGGGACTGCCACAGAAAGTCTGCAGGAGCCTGTCTTGCTGGAAGACGTTGGAGAGTCCAAAATCTGCAATCTGGGTTGGAGGAAAATAGGCCACAGGTGAGTACCACGGCTGACAGAAGACAAAAGTTGCAGATTTTCTCTGAGAAATAGGTCAAAATAAGCCCCTCCATTCCTTGCCACAAGTTGTTTTAAGGTGTTCAACCTGTACACTGTGCTTCAATACCCATTTGGAGAAAAGAATAAGCAATGGAATCCTAAAGTTACTCTACCATGGTCTACAAAAAAGGCGCTGGCCTTAATCTAAGCCCAGAGCCACAGACTAATGTACACTGTAGAGCTGTTACTCATTAAGCACTCTATTCTTTTTAGGTATACAGTAAGGAAATATGTCTACTTGCCGCCATTTACTGTATAGGAACAAGTATTCAGAAGCCTTTCAGAAGCTGGGGGGCAGAAACCTGAAAAGCACATTCTCATTCACCCAGAGTGAATTGCTTTACTGAGTGTGTACTAGGTCTTCAAGACCTGATCAACTGGTCGCATGTTCTGGTCTATTTGTGCCACAGCTGTAAGTATTTGCTGATGCCCTGGTTTTAATGACTTTTGTTTATCCAAGCCATAACCAGTCAGATGAGCCAGAAGGTACAGAACATGCTTTCAGGTGTATAGTTGCAAAACAGCCTATTGTTCAGGCAGGACTTTGTTTATTATTAACTGTACAAAATTTTCTACTTAATTAAAAGTTGCCTGGTCCTTGTTGAGATGGTATAGACTCGCTAGGTGGAAGGGCAATGAGGTCAAAACTATGGAGCCATGGAGTCCTTCACTCCAGCTCCTATGTCTTAACTCCCCTTCTTTCTATACAAACTGAACAGTTGAAACTGCAATGCAGGCTCCCTAAATTTAGCACTATGCTAGGAGGACATTCTTTTCTATCAGTGTTTCTTCCCACATTAGGTAAGATGGGATTTGGTCACCTGACACCATAAACATGCTCTCCCTGGCTCCATCATCACCATCTCTTAATACACCATCACCATCTCCTAGCTCCTCTACAGTAGGGTTTGGGCAAGAAAAGGAAACACACAGGGACAAACAGCTGACCTGTCACACCCATAAATTATATGCCTGACAGACCCCTAAGAACTAACTCAGGCCTGTATTTTAAACTCTGCTATCATATATGTCTTCTGTGTACAGAGTCTGAATAAGCAGGACGGCTTTTAATCAAAGTCCCTTCTTTTCACGATCAGACTGATTTCCAACTACTCCCCAGAGAGTCCTGTGTCACAGTTTTAAGTGTCACAGATATATTCTAGCATGAGTTTTCACAGATCACAGCCTATTTTCTCAGATGAGTGGTTTTATAATTCAGTGGATTTATATTCCAGCCTCAGGCTGATATGCACAGTCCGCATGGTTTCTGGAATGGGAGTAGAGTGAAATAGAACACCAAAAACAATAACCACCTATTATCAATGCTAATGCTGAAACAGACCAGCATGGCTACCTCTTTGAAATATTTCATATACACCACCCAGCACTAACTAGATATGTTGGAATATATCCCATCATCCACAGCTATGCCGAGGATGGGAACTGTAGAACACACTTGAAAGCTACTAGGTTGGACACTGCTGCAGATTAACCCGTTCCTTGAGGAATCAAAATAACAGTTCTTTAGTGGTGCAAACAGTCTTTAAATATAGTAATCTTCCTTTTGTAAAGGGGCTCAAATAATGCCTGATGAATTATTCCCAGACCTGAGACAGAGAATCTAATTATCCGGGCCAAACAATTGTTTTTTTAAAGCCTCCTTTTCTGTCTTGGAAACTGCTGTTTCCTTTAAAAAAAAAAAACACACACACACAATCCACAACAACTTTTCCTCTGGTATTCTACTCTGTCATGAGTCATTGTTTGGATTAGTTCTTCCTATCAGGTCGTTTGTCATGAGATAAGGCAGAGTTTCTGGTAACCATTGGCTATTTTCACTTTCTTCCTTGTTAAACCATTCAGGCTACCTCAGGGTCAGTAGTGAACAACTTTTGGTCCTTCAGATGTTGTGGGGCTATAACTGCAACCAGCCCTTATTACCAGAACCAATTGTGAAAGATGATGGGAGTTCAGTAATCCAACAACATTTGAAGGGTTACCAGTTGCCCATCCCTTGTAGATATATTGTCCTATGAAAGATCTAGAAGACAACATTTTGTTTATTTATGCACAATATTTCCACCCCAGCCATTAATAAAAGCTTTCCAGCATTTTACAAAATGATGTATAGTGTTCCTGGTAGCACTTACAAAATAATAAGGCTCCTTTTTCCATCTACAGTGGTGCCTCGCTTAACGAGCGCACCGTATAACGATGAATCCGCATAGCGATCCCTTTTTCGGGATCGCTAATGCGGAGGCATACTGATGGTCGCAATGGGCAAAACTCACATAGCGACGATCGGTAAGCGTTTTGCTTACCGATCTTCGCTTTGCGATGCCCGCGAATCAGCTGTTAGGCGGTTCCAAAATGGCCGTCGGAAGCCCCGAAATGGCCGCACGTAGCGTTTTCGCGCCCTCCCCTCGCTTACCAAGGGCGCGGAAATGGCTGCTGCTATGGAGGAAACTTCGCTGAACGGTAAGTTTAGGGCCCATTGGAATGCATTAAACGATGTTTAATGCATTCCAATGGGTTTTTACGTTCCGTTTAGAGATATTTTCACATAGCAAGAGTTAATCCGGAACGGATTAACCTCGCTATGCGGGGCACCACTGTACAACACTGACCTTGAGCTTGCATTACCTTCTTCTATTGTCGAAATGGACCTCACACTAGCCACAGTCAACCCACAGCTGTTACACAATTTACAGGTTTGCTTAGAACTATGATTCCTTTCAGGCTAGCTTTAAAAGTTTTAACAAGGGTTGGGCATTGGTCTATGCCGAGCCCACAGTGCTACTCTAAAACACTGCAACAACAGTGGGGGATTTCCCCCCACATTCTCTCCAGCACTTACTATTTTAATTGCTGTTTTACATATTTGTGATTGGTTTTTCCAGTGTGCTTTTTAGTTACACATATTTTGCTAATATGCCTGAAGAATTTAAATATTTTTTAAGGATGCATGAATGGCCATGAATGGCCATTTGAGACAGAATATTAAAATGAATTTTAGTATCATAACCCTCTAGCCACTTGCACGTCAGACAGCTCTGCTCACCTTGATGTTGCCATTTGCATCTAGAAGGATGTTTTCAAGCTTTAAGTCTCTGTGAACAATTCCATTCTGTGGTGAGAAAAAGCAGATATTAGATTTGTTTTTCTAGTGGAAAGTGGAAATCAGCTCTTGTGGAAAGCAGTGATTTATTCACATTGACAACAGGTTCAACAGGCTATATGCCACAGCATCAACAATTTACTTTCCTTGTCTATCTACAGCAACTCACTGGAAGATTCTGGGAGCTGTAATCCCCCCCCAATTTTTTTTTACTGTTTCTAATCATGCTCTTTCCTTTTCTGTAAAGCTAGAGCCTAAAACAGATCCCAATAGAAAGTCAAAACAGAAAGTATACAATGGTTGAGATCCTGTTGCTCAGCATAATTAGTCATAACTAGAGGAGGCACATTGAATCAGTGGGGATTTGGTGAGCCAAATCCCCTGTAAGTTTCACTGACTCAACATACCTACTCTAGCTTCAATTTATTACACTAAGCAACAGGATTTCAGCCAATATCTGCACTAATTCACATGTAAAAGGTAGTTAAAAGAATATTTGCCAATTTTTAGACAACAATAAATTACAACTCTAACTTGCAATCCTCCTGCTACTTTATTCTGCAGACGCCCTTCCTATCATTTATACAACTGGAGATGCTTTGAAAGAAATCTGTAAATCTTTTTTTTTTTAAACTGAGCATGGAGTGAACACCATTGCTCTTGTTGCTACAAATCAGTGCAGATTAGCAGTTCAGTACAAGAGAAAGCTCCAGCTACTCTAAACCACCTTGGTTACAAAGTATTGCTTTGAACAATACAAATGCAGGAGCAGGTGATACTTTTAATCGACCATTAAGAATATAAAACAAAAAACAAAAACAAAAAATCAAACAGCAAGCTTTCAGTGGTAAATCATCTTCTTCCAGGCTGTGCATCTCATTCTTGCAGTAGTACCAAACTTATGTGCTGTTATTAACATCCCAAATTCTCATACTGATGGTGTAGACTAGAGGACAGGCCCTCAGAACATACCATGCATTCAAAATATGCTTACTGGGAATCCACAGGCCGATGTTTAGACTTCAATTTGCTAAAGACCTTATGTGACCGTTGATGCTTTGGAAAGAGAGATCTGAACAGAGGTGGGGAATTTCTGGTAATGCCCTAAATCCAAATGCAAACTCCAACTAGAGGAGACAACTGAATCAATACATGGGCTATATGTAAGTGTTGATATTCTATTTAGCAATAGATTCAATGAGTCTGCTCTACTTGGGAGTACCTGTTAGATTTAGAGCAGCAAGCCAGATAGGCAGGAGTGCAAAACGTTTCTGGAATACAACTTACCATTGCGGTAGCACACACCTATTTTTGTTCTCTGCCCCTTACTAATCCTTCCCAAGAGAAAGGGAAGGTTCCAAATGTCTGAATTTCTACAATCCTCCTCACATTTTGCCACAAGAACAAAGTGTGCAAGGTAACTGCCAGCATACATCTAGAACGCCACGTTCCTAGGTCTATGCTGAAGTGCTTTATCCAGGTTACACCGTAGCCCATCAAATTAACCTTTCCCATAATTTTTAAGGGGTTGGTGCAGAGAAATTGAATCTGTTTTTTTCCCCAGAAGAATAAATGTGAGGAAGTACTTTCTGAGTTAAACAAGCAATTTTATTATTTGTGGTATGCAAATTGTATGCTGCTTAGGCAAGGAGAATAATGACAAGAGCAGTACAAAGGTCAGTCTTTTTAGAGCCCAGAGAAAGGGCGTGCAGGCTCCACCTCTCTGCACTGTGCTCTGGGAAGCAAGCTTTTTTGCTTTAGGAGCAGTTTCCCTGACCATCACTGCAGGTGGAAAGAAAAAAATGTTTCATTGCATTCCCCTTAGAGATGAGCACCTGCACAGTGCTCTGGGGAGCAAGCTTTTGCTTTAGGAGCAGCTTCCCTGGTCGTCACTGCAGGTGGAAAGGAAAAAAAAGTTTCATTGCATTCCCCTTAGAGATGAGCACGTATGAATTTCTCATTTCAGAGCAGCTCTCTTGTTTCATACAAAACTGAAATTCAAGTCAGAATGTCCTGCATGCACTGTGTGGCAGCTAAGGGCGTCTCCCTGAAGGAAGGGCAGACGCTGACAATACCACCTTGACTAAGCTTGTTATCTGAATTTCTCGTTTCAGAGCAACTCTCTAGTTTCATACAAAACTGAAATTCAAGCCAGAATGTCCTGCACTGTGTGGCAGCTATGGACATTTCCCTGAAGGAAGGGCAGATGCTGACAATACCACCTTGACTAAGCTTGTTATGCAAATAGGCTGGAGGCCAATACAGTATTTCATGGTCAGTTCTCAGATTTCATTACATGACTATGGAGAGCGGGCATCAGCTCCATGTCTTGGGGGCAGAATGAAACATATGAAAATTGACTAAGCTGTTCTACTCTATGCAGACTCTGAAACATGGACAAAAGTCTTAACTATCCATTCTTTCACTTCCTGTTAATCTGAGGAAGAAATTTGTCCTATAACATTTGTATTCCCATTAACATTAATCTTTTAGAAGTCAGAAATTAGTGAAGTCTTAGCTCTGTTCTGTAACAGACTACAATACCCATATGGAGAAGATGCCAACCCTGCTAACTGGTGACCTTAATATAGCAGGCATATGTATTCTATGTATGCTTTACAGAGACCCATATAGACCCAGACGCTTGTTCTACATACTGTACAGATAAACAAAAGGACCAGTCAGACCAAATGGTCCTTTCACTTTAACATGAAGAGGAAAAGTTGTGAAATACACCAATACAGAGCCGTGCAATACTTAAGACCGGCTCTCGGGTGTTTATATTTCGTAACTTTGCAAGTATTTTAAGTAACAAGATAAAGAGCATGAGACTTTTTTTGTGTTATTTCTTTTGTCACGCTATCATGAGGTATCAAGACAGAGCCCTTGTCCCTGAGCAGGCCATCATATTCTACTGACCTTGTGACAATAGTAGACAGCAGACACCACTTGTCTGAATAAGTGTCGTGCTTCCTGCTCAGTTAGTCTCTGGCGCTCACCAATGTAGTCGTAGAGATCTCCCTTGCTAGCATATTCCATTACAATGACAATCTTGCTGCTGTTTTCAAATACTGTAACAGACAAGGAAGAAGTGTGAGAAGAGGACATATCTCAGATCAGAAGTCATGTTGTCAAGCAGTCGCACCCAGCAGTTCCAAGATGCTGAATGTGCTAAACAATCCTGCAGGCAAATCTGTAGCCTTGCTTCTTGTGCTGACTCAAAATTCTGTTTACCCAGTCTTATAATGAGAAGCTCCATAACCTTTCTTACGCAAAGTAAATGATGTTGTAACACCTGGAGGAAGGTTGTTTATAGTAGTCCTTTTTGTGGCCTTTCATAGAATTATGACAGATCAGCAGTCTGCTGATCGTCTTATTCTCAAAGTTCGAAATTATGAGAACCTGTTGTTATTAAGAGTCTATGCTCCTGTAACAAGTTGTTGTAAACACAAAAATATTTTAAAATACAGAAGCAAATACTAAAAAGTGGAGGAGAAACATTTATGCTCTAGACAAGAACAAAATGCTGTGAGTCATCCAGCTGCATCCAATACCGAAGCTGCTGAGCTTCTGCCCTGCGGCTTTTCAGCATTCTCCATTTTCAGTGAAAGACAACATATATAAGTTCAGGTTAAGAGTGAGAAACAGGGAAAAAAGTGCAGCTGGCAATCTTGTCAGGTTTTTCCATACTCTGCAATTAAGTTGAAAATCCCACAAACATTCTGATTCTAAAAAGATTAGGAATAATGGGAACAGCTATTTTCTGTATTTTATAGTATAACGTTCAGATAGCACAGTTGTGAACACCCTTGCCCAAAGCAAGCCAATAGGCTCAAAACTGAGGTAGTAAAATATATATCAGGACCAGGGAATGTGTGGACCTTGAGAGATATTATTCTATCACAACTTTCATCATCCCACACCACTGGCTGTGCAAGTAAGGCTAATGGTAGTTCATGACAACAGCATTTGGAGAACCACTTATTTCCCAGTCCTATTTTATTTCTTCAGCCAAGTATTGAGAAGTTCTAGCATCAATTTGTGCCGAGTTCATTAATCCAACAGATCACCAGAGACCATTTTAAACCTGTATTTAGTCTCTTGATGTCCCAAGAAAACACTCAATAAAATACTGTATCCCTTTCCCTGACATCCAAGGAGCAGGAAACTTGTATCAGTATTATACCAATCCAATTAAAGTGAAGCAGTAGATAAACAGTTTTTTACCTTCATGGACAGCAATAATGTGTGGGTGATTGAGGGATGACATTATTTCAATTTCTCTCCTGATATGGATGAGGTCCTGCTCATCCTTTATTTTGTCTTTCCGTATAGACTTGATAGCAACCTAGAAATAGAGAGTTTCAAAAAGATTACCATAGGAATAATGGCCATGGTAACACAACATATTCACAGCTGGAAGCTGGCTAGCTATCAATGTTCGTTGAAAGAGTGATGGTATCTAAATTTAAACTAAGCCAATCGATCCTCATTCCTCAGCCAAAAGCAGAACGACAATGACAGACTGATGAGTTCTGCACTCTGCATAAGAACTACAATTCACTCAATGTGCATGTAAGCATCAGCCATGAAGAATGATATTAACAATGATTTGGAGTTGGTTCAGTACGTAGGACCCTGCCTGTTTACACAGACACTGAAGAAATAGTTAGTACCCAATCTGATCTTGTAACCAAAGAGACATTTCCTTAGTAAACACTAGAGCTAGAAACATTTCTGTTGGTGCTAAGTCAGCATAAGTGAGTCTTTATTCAAATTAAAGTTTAACACTTCTCTTGTTCATTTTAAACATAACATCTGTTTTGTCATTTTCAAAAGTGGCAGCTCCGCACTGGGTTAATGGATTAAGTTCTTTCTCTCTGAGATACTGCTTCCGCTGTAAGATACAGCTAGTAACTGGAATATCACCAGCACACAATTTAAAGTATCAATACCTCATTTGATGCAAATACAGTAAAAACAATTTTGTTATCTTCACAAAAATCCCCAGTCACTAAGTCACTAATTCAGCCTTGCTTTTTAAAAAAGCATTTCATAAAAACCAATCAAGTCCAGTAATGTTTGTTTTGCTTTAAAATAAAAAAGAGGGAGTAGTAATCACAAAGCTTCCCCCAAATTTGACCAACTGGCTGAAAGAGTAGAAATCTGAACAGGCAGGAGCAGACTTTGCAAAGTTTGCTCAGATTTCTTTATTATGAGAATTCCTCTACAAGGAAAGGAAGGGGAGGGAAGGGAAAGTGAGAGTGCTAGAGAATAGATGCAGCTAATCCTCTTTCAAAAGGATTGCAGAGACAATGTGCTCCTTGGGTTGAATTTAGAAGGGAATCCGGCACAACCTCGTTTCTTCTATCAGACAAGAATGCGGAACAGCATTAATCCTGTAAAAGGATCCGGGAGGACATATAATACTAAGTCTCCCAGCAACAACAAGGAAAGAGAAGCTTACTCATGCATCCACGGGCAGTGAAGATTTAGAATTCTCCTATACAACCACCATTTAACTTTCTATTCCCTATTACCACTAATAGATAAGAAGGGGGTATGCGGCATTCAACAGTCTGAAAAGATGATGCATATTCCCCACTGGCCTTAGCATACTGGTACAGGAAAGCCTATATAATGGCAGTTTAACTGAGATGTCATACAAAAAGCTGACATGGTGTTGGCTATCAGAAAATGTCCATCTTGCCTAACGAAGAGGTCTTTAAGATTTCAACAGGTCAAATGTATTTTTGTACCAATTTCATTGGCTTAAAAATGTATCACTATGATATGGATAATAGAACTTTGGCTGGGAATTTGAGAAAGCAGGTGAATGTCTCTGTTCTGTTAGAGGAGCATCATATTAGCACAGGCCTCAATTTACTCTGAAAGACCTAGCAAGGATCAGTTACTCTAGCCTTCCACACGCCACTAGTAAGAACCAGTCCTCTCTTCCAGGTGCAACGAACACGCTATAGTGAATAGGTTTACTGTTATTTTCAGAAAAGCTAGTGTGGGATAAAGAAGCTATCAATCAAACGTTTACCCAGTGATACTGACGACTTCCCAAGCTGCAGCGTCACCAGGACTGTTGCCATCGCCTGGTGTTGCCGTGTGATATCTGTTGCACCACCACTATTTCCTTCCCTATTTCATTTTTTTCTCCAAGAGTTCCATCCCCACAGATAAAGCTGGTTATGTAAGTTCAAGCAGACATAATCATGATCTCTCATGAATCACCTTTTTGCAACAACATGATTAGACGCTTTAGAAGCAAGCTTTTCTGCTCAGCAGCAACACATTTATTAGTGGCATAAAGAAAAACAAACGGAGGGAGAGGGCAGTGGAAGAATCCTACATTCCCCCAGCTCTACCCTTGCTCAAGTTTTACATAATCCAGAATGGTCAGATCAAATCGACAGCAGATTACAGACAACTAATATCACTGATGCAAGTAACAAGTACCATGTCTCTGTCTAAGTATTTTTAGAAGACGCAATACCACATCTAACAACCAGATCAATGCAAAATGGAAAGAACAGCAACACAGAAGGCCTGTATCAGGTCAAGCCTGTTTTATTGGATGGCCTTTGTGCTAAACGCAAGGAATTGGGTTTTGACCTTTTCTATGCCAGGACCCCATCACCTGGTCTACTTTCTGGAATATGCAGAACCACTGGACAGTGCACAACCTTTTTCTGGTAAACAAGCCACCTTTGTGTTGAGCTGAATTATAAAGGTCCTCATCCATCCCACCTCCTCCCTTGCTGAACCCTGCCCGATGAGTCCCCGTTCACTGACCCAGAGGCATGTGTCTGGAATGTCTGGCATGCAGCCCTGGCCTGAAGTGCCCTAAAGACCTGGGCAGCAGCACTGCAGGAGGCAGGCAGAGCAGCTGGTGCTAAAGAACCCATTCACCCTCTATTTGCAGAAAACAAACTCCCACAGTGAGGGGACCAGATTGTTGTGCCGACCTTGCCTGAGAGGAAAACAGAGCCCGCCTGCTAGAAGTACATCAGAACAAGGAAGAAAGCCAAATCTGAATTATGCCTCCTGCCCAATTGGGACAATCCTTTAAAAATAAAAAAACAGTTAAGGGATCCAGCCAGTAGTTACTAACTCATCTTCAAACTGTCCAAGTATTAATTAACTGGTTTTTTAATCTAAAGTCTGTGCAGAGGACAGATTTCAGATGTTCAGGGAAGCAGGACTTAGGACTGGGTGTACGTTCTCTCTATTGGCTAGGGATACCACGTGATGCGTAGGCATACAACAGAAAAGTGGTGCCACTGCATAACCATCACTGGAGTACTACGTGCATATGCCTAGTTTGAATTAAGCCTCTACCTTCAGGACAAGGTGGCAATCAGGTAAAGCTTTCAACAGACTAACAAAGAATCTCCCTACTCGTGTTGAGCTAACAAACAAAGGCTTCATAGGATGTGCAGGGAAATTTACTTCTGCTCCGTTATGAGTAAAATATTGGTGTTGTTCATTATCAAAACTGAAACACTTGACAAGAAGTCTGGACATTCATACTGTCCTTTTCTAACCTGGCACCCTCCAGATATGCCGGACCACCGTTTCCATCACACCTAGCAAAAACAAGCAATATTCCCTCCATATCACTAATTTTCACCAAGCCTGGCATTTGATGGAGGGATGAATGGGCATTGGACAGGACTCTTAACATTGCCTAGCCATGAGGTGAAGAGATCAGGTCATGTGTCTATGCCCTCATGACCCCTGTTAACTGTTCAGTCACTCTGGAAATGTCCCTAAGATATACGAGTACCCATTAAATTACCAGAACTTGCAGCCCTTCCAGAGAGAGACCACGTTGACTAGACGTGTATTTTGCCAAGTCAGCTTTTGTACTCCATGCAGCAAATCATGACTGCAGATGGACAATGTACACCAGTCAATTCCCCTTCAATGCTATAATTTGGCTGTACAACTCATTCCAAATCTGGTTTTAATTATGGTTTTGGCGAGGAAGACCTCTCCAAATAGGTAATGAAAACTTGCCAGGTGTTTAAAAACATGTTCCAGCTTCAGCTCACAGCCCCATTCTTAGATTGGATTATACCCTGCTCTCACAACAGCCCAGTGTTTTTTACATTTACACACACACTCTCTCTCTCTCTCTCTTTGAGAAGAGGGACCACTTTCCATTTTCAGGAGTGCCACCTTTCTGTATGTGCATAGCAAAGTCCCTGGAGTACATTTTGCTAGCAAAAAAGTCTATACAAACGCAGGCTTCCTGTTTGGCTTGGCTGGGAGCCAAGAACTAAAAGCTACACTCAAATGCATAGGTAGATGCAGTATTGAAACAGGTGCAGAAACCGGCAAGCCTCATTACTTCAGCCGGGCTTGTACTGTAGTTTCATATGATGCTTCTGACCGGCAAATAAGTTGCTCGTGATCTGTTTAAACAAATAAACTGGAGTTTCATAAGGTCAAGGAGAAAATAAATGTACACGTACAAAGTTAAAAAGCAGAGCAAGCCATGCTCAGTATGAGAAAAGTACCTGTGTAAAAATTCATAGTTTTTTTTTTAAAAATCACAACTCTTCTGGCACAAGAACTGCTTGTTTCACACTACGCTTTCATAGCTGAAGCAGGGTAGAGAAGATTTATTTTCTTTGATCAATGTTACTATCACCACCACCACCACTCATCATCATCATCATCTTAGAACTGCAGAGCTGGAAGAGACCCTATGGATCATGAAGTCCAGACCCTGTCAAGGAGGTGCAGCAGGGAATTGAACTCCCAACCTCTGCCTTTGCCACTGAGCTATCTGCCAGTTCTAATGTTAGTACCTGATGTTTATTTCCTTGATTCATAGGAGAAGTCTTGAGTAGGCTTAGATATAAAGGAAAGGCCAAGCAAAATGATTCACTAAAATGCAAGCATGTGGAGAAAGACAACTTTGAAGCAGCAAGAGAGCTGGGTTACACTCATGGCCTTCCATGTGTCTGTACTCTTGGATTGCAACTCCCATAATTCTTCACCTCTGATTAGGCTGGATTTGGCCAACAGGAGTTGCTATTCCAATGGAGAACCAGACATGACCCACACGTGTTGTTCAAAAATGGACTATGGTATGATCAATATACTAGCCAAAGAACACCATGTGTCCTCTTCATAAGGAGCATGAGCCATTACACACACCTTTCCTATTTGGACGCAGAAGGAATACAGATGAGATTAAGTTTTGAAAAATAAATGAGAAAAGAAGCTGCACTCCGACTAGTAAGTACTCTGGGGCAGTCTGGAAAACAGAGGAGAGGTGAGAGAACTCCCAGAACCATCCTTTGGGTAATGTAACTCCCATATGTGACATGTCCACGCTCTGATCTGGCAACCAACGCTGCTACGTCCCAAGACACTAACTTGCATATCGAAGCATGAGGTGACAATAAGCATTCTCTATTTCAGTGGAACATACTTCCGTGTACCTGTACTTTGGCCTGGTCTTCTTCACGGGCACCTTACGCCCCTTCTCTAGAGCATTGCTAGAAATTGCAGATGAAGCCCAGGCTCATCAAGCATAAATCTGCACAAAATGACATGTGTAAATGTAAATTAAATATATAGGAACAGATCCAGCACCCTGAGCAACAGGTTCAGCGCTAGACCCCATGGACCCAAACCGAGCAAGACTGACTCCTTTGCACATCACATTTGCTTGGCTGCTAATTCTATGAGGAACCGTCTAACACTGAGCCACCTTGCATCCTCTCATCAAGAAAAAGGCGGTCTATAAATGAAACAAATAAACATAAATAACCCAAACACTATTAATAGTTCATACTCTAACCCAGAGCTTGGAAAGGTTACTTTTGGTGACTGCAGCTTTGGTCTTTTTGAAACAATGGTTGAAATCTTGTTATGCAGTTATGCAAAAGGCTTTACTTTTAGAAGCAAATTGCCATAAGAAATCACATTATCTGTAAACAATATCTGTTTCACGCTGATCGTATGACACTGCACTTAAGAGATTATATCTACAAAGATCTCTTAACTCACAGCAATTCACTTTTGCAAAAGTTACACCTTCTGCAAAATTGTACAACAGGACTTTGGACAATGGCTGTTTTTTTGGAGTTACGCTTTATTTTGACTGGTATAAAGTCTGGCAAAGCTTTTCAAGATAGGTACTGTATTCATGCATTTGTGATAATATCTTACATATAGGATCCAAAGTGAACCAATTTTTGAATGCATCAACAATCTTGATCAGGCTGGAGGTCAGGCCAAAGTGGTGGGAAGTGATCAAAGAATGCAGTTGGGAACTATGAAAGAAAGCCCCACTCTTTTCTTTGTAGCAACCCTAAAATGGACCAGGGAAGTATTATACCAACTTAATTAGATTAAAACTGGGCATAGTGCAAAATAAATGCCAGCTGGCACTGGAAGCTACACGGCTATTTGCAATTTTTGTTTACAACTTTGGAGTAATTCAAACTCCACACAGGCCAAACCTGTGATTGTGATAATATTTATTCTCTCCTGCTCGAATCAACATGCAAATTCCCCTTTCACAAGGAAACAAAACCTGCCACTTTGATCAGCGTGACTGGAAGTTGTTCATGCACCACCCACAGCTCAGTGTTGTGCCAAGCTGAGGACACTACCTGAGCATTTATTCTCAAACTCGAGGCCATTGCCAACCTTGCACAAGCTTGCTATCTCCCGACAGGGTTTTCTGGAGAAACCACTATCAGCAACACTGTGGGCTTCAAACAAACTGAGCCCTCTGAAAGTCAGGAAACATTGCTGGCATTGCGTCAGGAGAAATTTAAGCTGCACTTATGCACCCTCAGTTTTCTGGAAAGTCTAATTTACACTAGAATAGCAAGGTCAACATGGAAAGCCCAAAGATCTCCAGGTTGTTTCTGAGTTTGGGCAACTCCTTTCCCCACCCCCTCAAAACCCCAGCCAATGGGAGCTGACTTTCCACATTTCAAGCGAGGCAAGCCACAAAGGCAAACAGTGGCACTGACAGGCAATTCAGGTCCGATCAATAACAGCAAAAAGAGGCGGGGGCGGCAAGAGAAATAAATATAGCAGCAGCAGATTGGCTAGCTTTGTCCTTTCAAGGAGAAGAAGGCAAGCTGCTGCCAAAAGGGGCCTTCTACCCATTTGTACTCCCAATTTTAAAAGGGTAATCTGCTGCCACACTCTCTCTCCTCAAAGAGAAAATGACTTGCCAGCCTCAGGGAAGCTGGCACAGAAAAGCCACTTAAGGCAGCCTTGCAAAAAAGCTGAAAAGTTTACCACCCTGGCTCTGATGTAATTACCTTTAATCCCATCCCTTTTCCTCAGCAACTAGCATGATTCACAACAAGCAAGTGAAGTTTTGCAAGACAATTTTAACCTGTATGGACCTGTCTCCTTGCCTGCTAACTCACATTTATTAAGTCAGGTTCAAAGTACTTCACTTTGCAATGTTTCTTGTCTGTATCACTGTGCTATCTTGGGTCCACAAAGCTGGGGCAGATGGACAACAGATGCAGATCATGGAGGCCCGAAGGCCTTCGATTTTAGGAAGAGCTGGATGTATTTACAGTTCAAGCCTACACTTTCCTACTCAGAAATAAACATCCATTGAGTCCAACGGGACCTTCTCCCAGAGGTGCACACAGGATTACAGGGACCTAATGATGAAGTCCAACATGGGCTTCCTTTAGACAGAAAGCGAGATCTCCGATTAAATAACACCAGATTCATGCTGTTCATAAATACTGCAAGGACTGGGCGAGAAATTCTTTTGCAAGATTGAAATACTCCTTTGGATAGCAGATTAGCAAGTGCACGCTTGCAAAACTTTTACGATTCCCTCCCTACGGATATGTAACATAATTAGCATTCGGGGTTATTATGTATAATTAACATTCATTATGCAATCCATTTGTCTCGGCGGCCATGCATTTACTTTTTCTTTGTCGCGGTTGTTTTGCGAGGTTGGCTAATCTGGCCCTGCCATCAGCGAACCCTGCAGGATACACGATCCTAATTACTCTCACGGTGCAACGCCAGACCCCTCGCCCCCACCCTCTCCCTCAGAGTCGACCACCCGTTCCCTAGGGCCACGTTGGGCACACAGCCAGCCCTGCGCCGATCAGAAGGCTGCGGCGGGCTTTGCAGGGAAGCTGCCGGGGGATTCCCTCCCCCACCCCCTTCAAGCACAGCACAGAGACGGACGCGCACACACAAACACACACAGACACACACACACAGAGACAGCAGATAGATAAGCGGGAAAATTCAAAAGAGGGTTGAGATCAAGAAATTCCCTCAGTGTTTTCTTTTCCTAAGGGAAAATATGTGGCCGGATTGTTCCCTTTCTTTATCTTCGGGCGACTGCCCACAGGATGCTCCACCTTCGGAGCGTGGCCCTGTGTGCAATTTTGCTCCCAAGGAAGTCCCACCTTCTCCAACGGTGTTTGCTGCATTGTGTTGTTAGGCTTGCAGTCTAAGCCCGACAAAACGCGCACAGACGTATAACACACACACACCACGTCCATTAGGGATTCCGCTGGCATCACCAACCCTCGTCGGGGCCAGCCCTCTAGTCCTCCGCATTCAACTTAATGATCCTGGTGGTGGTCCTATCGCACGTCTACTTTTGAGTAGGGCCGTGCTCCCAGAGAGCCAGTACGCCGCAAGCTTGGGTGCGCCCCCGCCGCCGCCGCCAGCCGTCCTGAGACGCACCAAGCGCACCTCCTGGCCGGGGCCGGGAAGTCCACGCCAGCGGATCGCAGCGTCATCAAGGGATCTCCTTCGATGTAAGTCAGGGACCCCAAGGCTCGAAGCCGCCCCCCGTCCCTTCCCTTCCCTTCCCCCGCTTCCTTCCTTACCAGCTTGCCCGAGCGCTCCCGCGCCTTCTTCACCTTGCCGTAGGTGCCTTTGCCCAGCGTCTCCAGAAACTCGTAGCGATGCCGGAGGTTGTGCTTATGGTAGTGCCGCTTCACCGCCTGCCTCTTCATGGAGGGCTTGGGCGACTGGAGGAGCCCGTCCTGCAGGGGAGACGCCGCCGCCACCGCCGGGGTATCGGAGAAGGCGACGCGCTCCATCGCCCGTGGGCGCAGCGCCGAGACCCAGCCAGAGACACCGAAGCGGCTCCTCGCAGCCTTGAAACGCGAAAGCCGGCCGGCCCGCCTGCCTGCCTGCCAGCCGCCCCGGTGCCAATAAATGCTTACAAACCTGCCCGCTCCCGACCCGCCCCCTTGCGGTCATTGGCTGCGGTGGCCCACGTGCCCGCCCGCCTCTTTCGCAAGGTGTCGGTAAAGATGCGGGGGGCGAGCAAGGGGGCGCGCGCGAAAGAGCCGAGGAAGTGCGTGTGGCTGGAGACGCGGGGAGGGGGGATGGGGTGTCGGGGAATTTCCTTACATTACAGTATTTTAGGTTCCAAGCCTAGGTGTTAAGGCCCGCCATGTAGTGCAGAAACGTGCGAATAATTCCCCTTTTCCTTTCCAACGGATGTTCTTGGTGATGGATTTCACATTCAGTCTGACTGCAAGTTTTGATTTCGTTGTAAGCTTCTGTTGATCGTATTTTTTTTTTCATTTCGGATAATCCGGCTATCCAATAGTCAGTCTGCAATTATTATGAAATCAAGGATAAAATATAGCATCCGAAGCAGATTCTAAATGAGGTCAAACATTTAACGGAATTTCACCTGACGAGTCATAAAAAGATAAGGACGAATAGGTGTTAAAATATACAAAAACGATCATCCTAAACACATGAGATTGCACAGCAAACCCTATTGAAATCAGTGGGAGCGACTGCTCAGCCAATATGCATAGGATCGCATTCTAAGAGATATATTCTAAACACAGATCGTTATGGGAGTCCAATAGAATTCAATGCATGGAAGTGATTTCATTGCTAAGCAAGTGTAAGTACAGTAATTCCTATTGACCTCAGCAGTACTTTCGCCTGAATACACAGATTTAGGATTTGCATCCATTGCTGCATGACTGAATACCGGTACATTATTTCCAGTGAAGGCAGAACGAACACATCCCATTGTAAGAAATTATAGGAACTGTAGTCTGAAGCAACTGGGAAACAGCATGACGCTTCACTAGTACATACTGTTATATAAAGAGTGACAACATTGCCAGTGTTTTTAGAATAATCACCGAAAGGGAAAGCAAAATTTCCTTATAAAGGCCTTATGTAAACTACTTGGAATAAATAAATAAAGAAAAACGTATCCCTTTTCCCTATACAGTACGGTACCTCTTTATTTAGAAGGAAGTCCCAGTAAGTTTAATGTTGCACGTAGGACTGGTGCCTTGAGTTGTCCAGTAGTTATAGGTTTCCCTCACTTGTGATTTAATTAAAAAAAACTTGCTGGAATAGACACATTATATACATTTAATATGAAAAATATGCTGTATGTCTAAATAAAACTCTTCTTTTTTTGTCAGCCATTAATTTTAAGATAGTCCTGGCTGGCGCACAGAAGCTCTGAATCCTTATTGTTGTAAAATTGTTGCTGTGATGTTTTCTTATTGTATTAACAACTAATGACAAATTTTTTTAAAAAAAATGATTAATAAGCATCTAGAAACATTTGGAAATTGGGGGCACTTCTTAAGAAATCTAAATAATTTTAAGAAACCTCTCACAAGTTGTAATTTTTGGGATTTATATGGAACATAAGAATAGCTGGAATGACTATCACACTGGTTTCAGATCTTAAAGAGGAAAAGTTCCAAGAGCAGTCAAAACAAAAGCTTCAGCATGACTTTGGCATGTGAGGTCATCACGCTGATTGAAGAAAAAGATAACTTCAGAGTTACTCATCCAGACCTGGATTTTCCCAGAACTTCAAAGGGCTCAGGCAGCAGCAAAACATACCAAAGGAACACACTAATACAATCAAGGCAAAGCAAATCTATCAGGACAGAAAGTTTCAACCAAAAAATAATCCAATTAATTCAGTGTCTGATGAAGTCTGAATAAGGTCATCACAAAATTCCAGGCAGAGTGGTTTGTTTATTTATTTCAGCACGGAGTTGGCACTGTCAGATGCTTACATGGCAGATCTTTTTCTAAATGGCAATAATAGCATCACTATCATCAATTGAACAAAGTCTCCTCCATGGAGTAAAGTGCTTGAAGAAAAGTTTGGATGCAAATGGAAATATTTGGAGAACCCTGAGAATTGCCTGTCACTAGTTGTCTAGAAATAAGGAGTCCATTATTGTATTTTTCTAGAGCTAAGATTCCTTAAAAAAAATTCCTTAAAAAGCAGCACGCTTTTAATCTCTTGCAAGTTAGCTACACATACTGTAAATAATTACAATTATGTCAAAATGTCCCATCAGCACCAAGAGATAGACAGATACTTGAAGACAGGATAAATCCTTTTTATTTGCAATAAAAGCAACCACTCTGATCCATTTATATTTTCCACTTTCTTGAAGCCACAGAAAAAGAGAGGGAAAAGGCATGTTTCCATAACAGAATGTGTTTTTCCTCATGTTGATCAATATCAGCTACTGATGATTTCTTTTCTGAGATCTGTTTTGGGGTTTTGGTTTTTATAATCTTTTGGGTTTAAAAGAAAAAAAACATTTTGATCTGTAGGAATCTATTCAACTTCATGCTGGGACCTGAACTTTATACTGATCTTCACTGTCATAATGAATTTCTGCTCATGGAAGTGAAAAGGAATTGCATTATTTTGTAAACCTAACACCATGTGCAAAATCACACAGCTATTCTGAGTACCTTAGAAGAACATAGAAGAAAGAGTTGTAGTAGATGAGACCAATCATCCAGCTGTTGAAAGATCCTTATTTCAAACAGGACACGAAAGCAATTGCACTGCACTGCTTGTGTTCCTAAAAACTGATGTTCCCTAAGAACAGCCTCTGGCACTGGAGGGGTTATGGAATCCTCTTATTCTCCATGAGTTCATCCAGTCCCCTTTCATGATCACTACATCTTACGGTAGCAAATTCCACATCAGCTGAATGATCCAGATGATCAAGTCACCATTTTATGGCTTATGTCAGCATGTTTTGCAATGCTTTTTTCAGACAAATCACCTCCCAGTATTCTTAAGAACACATGAAGCAACATAAAAAACATATTCTCGAAAGCTTTCACAGCTGGGATCTAATAGTTGTTGTGCCCGGAAACAGCCCAGCAAACCTACAAGAACCAACATTAAAAAAAACATTATTTTACATAATTTGGAGAGAAAAACTAGCCCTAAATCTTGTTGGAGTCATTGTGGGGTCCCTGTCCATGACTAACATTCAGGCTGAAGCTTGAAACACACATGCGTGTTCCTGGAAGCTGATACTTAAGAAGCCCTGGAGAGGCCAGCGCATAGCTTAAGCATAAGAGAGCATAACCCATACTGGTTTCCATTAAAGAAAAATGGATCAGTTCCACTGTTAAACACAGAGATGTCTAATATTATTTACACACATAAAACATTGTGAGTTTTATTGTGGATGGTATTGTTTTCAGCATAGGAAACAATGAGGCTGAGGAAGGAAGGGGGGAAAAGTCCAAAGTGACAGAGATGAGATAGTCCGGCAGACAGAGGCTGAACGCTTGCATAATCTGAGAGATTCCATGGCAGAATTCAAGTTACTCTCCTCCCAGCAGTGCCAGGCAGGCACAATTCTGTGCATGCCTTTCTTGTTCACCCGAATGAGGGCATGCAGTTATCCAGCTACCTAATTGTGCTTTGCAACTCAGAGAAAGCTGAATGCTATGTCCCTATCCTCAGCTGAACTGGCAAAAACTAGAGCCTCATTCACTGAGAGGAAAGGTTTTAAAATGAGGCCTTAGCATCAGTAAACTGGTGCAAAGCCAGGCGGCCAGACCTCTTTGCTTCCACTTCTTTTTCCCAGCAAAATAAAGCATTTACTTATATATTTTTCTTTTAAAATGATACATACCATTGTTGACAAGCTCTGTCCCATGATATATGTAACTAGCAACAACATTACAACTACAAAAACTAAACCAAGGCAGTCAAAATCATAGTATCATCAAATTTTAAAAACATTATTTTGTAAAGAAGTTATAATCAATATTATTTGGGAGTTAGGGTTGAAAAGAGGAAAAAAATCTTGGGACAAAGTGGCATTTTGAAGGCCTTAGGCTCCGAGAGATGCACAGGAAGATCTAAAATTAGAGCACGTAATCAATCTGTGCTAAATTTGCAAAGAAGGCAGAACTGATACTGTTACCTATATGTGTATACAGTACATGGATCCCAAGATGAAAGGATTATAATCAGCCATGGAGTTGGAGATCTAAGCAGACCTTGAGAAAGTTAGCTTTTCAGATTATAGCTGGCAGAATCTCCCAACCAGCATGGTTGCCAAGGGATTCTGGGAGCTGTCATTCAAAAATATCCCCCCCCCCCAAAGTTCTGGAATGAGGATTAGTGGATTTGTGCATACTGTTCATACATACATACATACATACATACATACATACATACATACATACATACATACATACATACATACATACATTGAATGAATGAATGAATGAATGAACCATAAAAGTGCATGCTAAAATAAATCCATCAGTCTTGACAGTGCCCCAAGATCCCTCCCTCCTTTTAAAAGTTATCCTTCAACCAACCAACTTATATTTGGTACTAAAGTTCTAAAAGCATCTCTACCCATCCCTGGTAGTACAAAAACAGTATGAAGTAAGATGTGCTGCTTTCCTCTGATATTCAAACACTGATGGCTGAAGTAGCCACCTCCCTTTGCCAAATATGTAGTGTAAGTCCTGCCAGACAGGCAGCTTGGGAGGGCTATAATCTTTATGTGTTGACTGTGAAATTGCCAAAAGCCCTTTTCTGGCTGGCTGTTGTTTGAAACAGAATGCTAGTGTCCAGTGGATTTCTGGTCTGCTGGAGCAGGACACTGCTTGTGTTCATCATGGTAGTGCTCCTCAGTCATATTAACTGGGCTAGGATCACTAGAATCACCTCTCCCAATCCCATAAAGCTGCTAAGTTATTACTGTGGTGTTCTAAAGCTCCCTGCTGCAAAAACAAATGTCTCACCTTTATGGGACTGTTTATATTTGACAAATGCCTGTACACCAGGAGGCCATTGTACCAGGATGGACCCCTAAGCCTCCAACACAACTGTTTAATTACTGTCTTTGATGTGGAC